CATCATAATTAACATCATCATCATAATTCATCATCGTCGTCATCATCGTCATTGGTATCATTACCAAGATCTGAAAAAAGCTCATTTGCATTCGTCTGACGATCGATAGAATGATGAAGTAATTAACTTTGCGAATGTTGTTTTTGATGTTGTTCTTGATGCCGTTGTTGTTTTGTATATGATGATATTGTTGTTGTTGATGTTGATGTTGTTGTTGTTGATGTTGTTGTTGTTGATGTTGTTGTTGTTGATGTTGTTGTTGTTGATGTTGTTGTTGAAGATGTTGTTGATGCAGTTGTTGTTTTGTATGTGTTGATATTGTTGTTGTTGTTGATGTTGTTGATGCTGTTGTTGTTGTTGATGTGTGTGTTGCTGTTCATGCTGTTGGTGATGTCATACTTTATTTTTTGTTTTTTGGGTTTTATTAGCATTAGATGTATCTACACGCTGTGTTAATGACGTTGATGTAATTGGATATTTCTTTCATGTGCTGTTGTAGTAGTAGTAACAGCAGCAGCAGTGGCAGCTGTAGTAGCAGCAGCAGTAGTAGTAGCAGCAGCAGTGGCAGCAACAGTAGTAGTAGTAGTAGCAGCAGTAGTTGTCGTTATGGCTAAAGTATTTGAGTTTCAAAAAAAGAAAGAAAGAAAATGTTTTGTGTTTTAAACTTCGCATATTTTGACTCCATGGTTGATGTTTGCTGATGTAATTTCAATTGATGTAGCATTTGTTAGTGTCATTGCTTGCTGTCTTTCATTTTATTAGTGACATTAAACTTTAGAATGGATTAATGCATCCATATCATGTCTACATTGCTTGTTAACCTAGATGCCGTAGGTACCATAGTATACAAAACTGTAAATAAATAAAAGAAATAGGTATGAATGTAATACACACACAAACACGCACATACATACATACACACTGTGTATGCATATGTGTGTGTGTTTGTGTGTGTGTTTGTGTGTGCACTGTGTATGCATATGTGGGTGTTTGTGTGTTTGTTTGTGTGTGTGTGTGTGTGTATGTGTGTGTATGGCGATGACAATGATATCGATTATAATAGAGTCTGTATGACATTTATTTTACTTCCAAGTCAATAACATATCGACATTCCTTGCTAAAGAAAAAACACAGTTATGCCATAAAATAATAATATTTAATAATAATAATTACAATATATTATTATTATTATTTACAATCATTGCTACTAGTAGTAAAAGAAGTAGTAGCAGTAGTAGTAGTAGTAGCAGCAGCAATAGTAATAGTAATAACAATAGTAGTAGTAGTAGTAGTAGTAGTAGGAGGAGGAGGAGGAGTAGTAGTAGTAGTAGTAGTAGTAGGAGGAGGAGGAGGAGTAGTAGTAGCAGTAGTAGCAGTAGTAGTAGTAGAGTAGTTGTAGTAGTAGTAGTAGTAGTAGTAGTAGTAGTAGTAGAGTAGTTGTAGTAGTAGTAGTAGTAGTAGGAGGAGGAGGAGGAGTAGTAGTAGCAGTAGTAGCAGTAGTAGTAGTAGAGTAGTAGTAGTAGTAGTAGTAGTAGTAATAGTAGTAGAGTAGTTGTAGTAGTAGTAGTAGTAGTAGTAGTAGAGTAGTTGTAGTAGTAGTAGTAGCAGCAGCAGAAAAAGTTTTTTGATTATTATTACTATCGTAATTGTTATTAATAATATCAAAGATAATGTGATTAATATTAATGTGATTGTTATTATTTTTATGACGTCATTAGTGTCGTCATGGGAAAGTTCTTATGAGGTCAGAGATGATCATATGCATGGTTTAATAAATTTATTTAGTTGACCGGCCGAGCGGATTGTGTGGCGATTTTGTGGATGATGACGCTGCTTCTGCCACTGCTACTAATGATGATGATGATGATGACGGTGGTGGTAATGATGATGATGATAATGGTGATGATGATGATGGATATAATGATAATGATAATGAGACAGAACGTCATTGGAAATTTTAATTACGAAAAAATTGTTTCAAATCTAACCTTCTGTAGAAGAAAGAGTTAATTAATTAATTAATTAATTAATTAATTAATTAATTAATTAACTAAGAATTAAAAAACTAATAAAATGAAATGATAACATTAATAATGATAATAATAATTATTAATTTAGTTATTATTTAAGTTATTTTCTAAAATAATGAGCTTTATTTATATAATTTCATATTCATAATTCTTAACTAACAAAGGAAACATCATATGACAAATACCAAGCAATCAAACTTACCTATCTGACAATCATAATTTAAAGTAACTAAAATTATAATTAAAAATAATCATAACTCTATTATTTAATAATGATAATAATGATGAAAAAAAGAATAAAATATTTTTCTAAAATAATTTATTTAGACCAACAAAATGTAGATGTTGTTTAACGTTATCACATAGGATCACAAATGTGTTTTTTTTCAAAATTAAATGCATGCAAACTCAGGCCTATTGCGTCTTCTAGATAAACTCTGTTGCTTGCACAAGCTTCAACATGTATATATATATATATATATATATATATATATATATATATATATATACAAACATACACACGTTCGTACATACATACATTCATACATACACACTTACAGACACACATACAAACATACATGCACACATACAAAACGTATATACAAAGACGTGGTTATCTTTTAGTATCTCTAGGTTGACATATCTAATGAAGTTATTCGCTCATTTCTTTGCACCCTGTTCTTGCATGTACGTACGTACGTATGTATGTATGCATGTTTGTATGTTTGCATGTTTGTATACATGTATGTATGTATGTTTGTTTTTTTGTATGTTTGTATGTGTGTATATAGGTAAGTTTATATGGATGGATGTTCAAAATATAAATAGACACGATGCTTTGAGGAAGCATGCATCTAATTATTTATTTACGTTTTTTGTGTATGTATCTATGTGTGTGTGTGTGTGTGTTTGTTTGTGTATGTATATGTGTGTGTATGTATGTGTGTGTATGTATGTGTGTGTTTGTGTGTATGTGTGTGCGCGTGTGCGCGCGCGAGTGTGTTTGTATTCAAAACACGCATCTCAGCGGTTTATTTATATTCATCCACATATATGCGTTTTATCTATCTTTCAATCATCAAAATTTTTTCATTTTTTTTATTCATTCATTTTCCAGTTTCCTCATTCACTCAGTTCTTCCTCTTTTATTTATAATTTGTTATCTTTTAATAATAACAACTATAATAGAAATAACTATTTTTTTTATTAATATTGTTGTTATTATTATTATTGTTAACCGACAGATGTTTTTGGTTGCTCATAGTTGCATATTTGTTTTAAAATTTTAGAGAATCAGGATCATCATTTTTCCTTCTCGATCGCCACTATCATCATCAACATCATCATCGTCGTCATCATCATCATCGTCGTCATCATCGTCGTCGTCGTCGTCGTTCCGATTACTTCAAACGTCATTAATAACAATGTAGGTTTCCAGTTTTGAATTTTTATGTTTTTTTCGTTCATTCATTCATTCGTTCGTTCATTCATTCATTCTTTCGTTCTTTCATTCGTTCGTTCGTTCGTTCGTTCGTTCATTCATTCATTCATTTATTCATTCATTCATCCATTCATTGATTCATTCATACATTCACTCGTTCGTTCATTCTTTCTTTCCTTCGTCCATTCATTTATTCATTGTTTTTCTTTTCATTTTACTCTCGCTTGCTCATCCGCTCATTTTTCAACTTTTTTTTATTCATCCTCATCGATTTTTCTCCTAACTTTCTCGTGCATTCCCCTCATATTTCATCTTCCTCTCTCTTTTTTTCTCTCCCTTTTTCGGTATTCTATCTCTCCCCTTCCGAAAAGTTTTTCTTTTTATACTCTTTCAATCAATCATGCGTCTTTTCATCGCCAGTTCATTAATTATTCTGTTCATTAACTATTCATTCGTTCGTTCATTAATTCAATTATTCCTTCATTCATTCATTCATTCATTCATAAAATAATCGAAACGATCATTACACACAAACAATATACACAAGTATTACACACAAACAAACATTACACACAGATATTACACACAATTACTTGAATTCTTTTTATTCTACATTTGAATTTTAACTACGTTAAATTTTTTTTAACACTCCGTCTTGCCGACCCTATGGACCCCCTCCCATCTGCCATGCTGGAGGCGATGATGTGGCAAGAATCAGCCCAACGATCACATATTTCGTCCGTGTGACTCCCTTGAAGACATCGTAGAGACTGCTCAGATGCTTCATTCGGTCGTTCCAGATATCTGTGTTTTCTTTGTCTTTAAACTTTTTAATGCTCTTCAATTTCATTTGTTTGCAACGCCAAGTTTTCTGATATTATTTGTTTTATTGTTTTCTTCTTCTTCTTTTCCTTCTTAGGCACTTCCGCCAAAAAAACCAGATATCTGATTCTCCTTTGTCTTTAATGTTTTTATAGCTATGCAATTGGATTTGTTTGCAACGCTAACTTTCTGATATTATTAGTTTTTTTGTATTCTTCTTTTCCTTCTTCTTCTTTTGAAGATGATAATGGTTAGTTAGGCACATTTGCCATAAAAACCAGATATCTGATTCTTCTTTGTCTTTTTAATTTAACCATTACTATAGTTCGATGTTTTGAAATATTGGCTCGTAGTTTTTTATTAAATTTATAAAGTTTTTAATTTTTTACGCATGAAAATGTCTAATTTAACAATGGAATTTTTTGCGGTTGTGGAATACACATTATAGTTTTGCATAATGATAATTGTAATGCCTACTTGCATGTACATGGCTCCATAACTAAAATTAACTTTTAAACGTTTTCACTTTTAAACATTTTTTTCGGGGCTTAGTTTGAGTCCCATTAATTTGCTCCAAAAATTTAATCAGTAATTTCAAATTGTCATCCAAATTATTATTAATAAAATAGTTAAATATTAATAAATAATTGTTGTTGTTAATTTAAATACGTAAAATATTAAAAAACTGTTAATTATCTTCGCTCACCATGCTGAGCAGTGTGTGGAATTTTGTGAAAAGGCACAAAAAGAAATTTGTCTTCACTGGAGTTTTAGTCGGAGGTGAGTCGAAGAAAATGGTCCTGACACACACACTAATGTACAAAATACTAAAAAACTAAATATACAACACACACACCAACATATTAATTATAATTATTATAATATAAGAATTATATGCATCTTAATTCTTATTTACATACCTACATACATAGAAAATTACAAACATACATACAATAATACAAATACAATAGGTTTATTACAGTGTATGTAATCATAGTAATGTAAGTGTATTTGTAAATGTAAGTCTTACACTTTACAGGTATCTATTATCTTGGTAAATATGCAAGAAGAAAAATCATTGAACAACAGAAACAAGAGGCATTGGAGTTTATTGATAATATGAGGTATTTGTCTCAAATTTTTTTTTTATATAAAATGGGTTTATTTTTATGTATTAGGAAGTGCTTTCACTTTTTATTATACGAGCTTATGGTTAGAAGTTGTAGTTTTTTTTAATAGATTTTTAAAGTATTTTTTAATATTTTTTGTTTAATTTTTAAGAAAACAGCAGCACTATGAGAACAGCCAGAGGACTTGTGAAAGAACTAGTTTGTTTAGATTTTATTTTTGTCATTTTATTTAAAAAGAAATTAATTTAAAAATTAATAATTATCTTTATTATTATAATAATAATTACTACCTAATCTTTTAAAAACACTAACATTTTTGTACTTTAATATAACTGATAATATTAATACCTTCGTAGACTTATATATTATGCGATTTCATTATTATTGTCATAATTATCAAATTATGACCATAATTAATATAATAATTTTGTAGTTGGTTTTCGACTTAATCTATTCCCACAGTAATCTCCATGCTGCCTAATCTCTGTGAGGCTCTGTGCAAGCAGTTAGACACAGAACATTTGCTGGTAGGACTGAAATCAAAGTGTCTATATTTTTTTAATTTTACTATTCTCGAATAATTATGGTATAATATTAATAATAATAATAATTATTATTATTATTTAAGCGTTTTGTCATTGCTACTTTTATTTCTTTCATCTGTATTACTATTGTTTATTATTACTATTGTTATTTGATACTGTTATATCAATTCTTATTTTGGTTATTTTTATTATTTGTTAACCAAGGCCTGACATGAAGATAGCAACCTGGGAAAAGATAAAACTTTTGAGTTATTATTTTTGTTATTATTATTATTATTATTGTTATAATTATTATTATAATTATTATTATTATTGTTATAATTATTATTACTATAATTTTTCTACGAAAGGTTTCGTCAGGATGATTGTGTCTGTATATTCGTGCTGCTTGCTTGTATTAATCTTTAAAGTACAGCTCAACGTACTGGCCGGCTGCATGTTCTCATCTGTCAAAAAAATCAACAACAATAATAATAATTATAATTTTGGTAATTGTAATTATTATAATTATAATGGCAATAATAATAATAATAATAATTGTGATTCCGGAGCTGGTAAGATTAACTCTAATGTACAGAAGAGATACATGCAGTGCATTCAGCTGCTTTTTAAAACAGGTCTGTTGGGATGGATGATGATGACGGCGACAATGATGGCGATAGTATTGATTATTATTTGTATTATTGTTGTTGTTGTTGTTGTTGTTGTAGCTGCGTTATTTATGAAAATGAATGTGAAAATTAGATTATGGCAGAAAAGTTTTAGTCGAAAATAATATTCATCAGTTCTAAAGAGAATCATCGCCGATGTGACCGCGGCCGTCTCTGAGGTCATAGGAGGGTTGAGCCTAAAAACCCCGATGACCCCGTCGACCCTTCACGAACTTCTGACCTTAGTACGCCGAAAGGTCGAGGTCAAGGTTCAAAATGGTTATCACGACACTGACCTTACTGGTTTCGTCGACTACATGTGCAGCATCGTGAAGAATGTTGACGACAATGATGATGATGGTAGTGGTGGTGGTGGTGGTGGTGGTGGTGGTGGTGGTGGTGGTGGTGAGATTAATACTGATGATGGTGATGAAGAAGGTCGGGGTTTGAAGAAATATGATGTTGGTGATGATGAACTGAGAGCTGTTGGATACTACGTTGATTTGGATGGTAATGATCAGAAGAAAAGAGATGACGATGAGGAAAACGATGGTGGTGGGGGTGAAGAACTTGATGATAGACTCGTGGTGATGAGGCTGAAGATGGAGACCTTAAAAATCATTCAAAGGTTTGGTTTAGTTCAATTTTCGTCTTTTTTTTTCCTTATAATTATGATCGGTTCCATCGATGTCTATTTATGATTATAATTATTGTCGTCGTCATCATTTCAATCGTTACCATTAACATCAACACTGCAGTAAATCTTTCAGCACTCTGACTACGATATGTCTGGACGGGCTGTTCTCACAGTTGCTGTCTAGCATTGCTGGCCACTTCGAGCCTATGAATACTACAACTTCTACTAATACTAATAGTACAGCAACCACTACTACTGCTGCTACAGCTACTACTGCTGCTACTACTACTACCACTACTACTGCACCATCGTTCTTGTTGATAGCGTCGCCATCTTTACCGACATCGTCAGCGTTAGTGACGTCAGCATCATCGCCACTGATGACATCATCGTATGTGTTGTCGTCGTTGTCATCATCGTCATCATCATCGTTGAAGGTTATGTCGAAACCACTTGCCAAAGTCATTCCAATTGTAAATGGTTTAGTCTATTTGGTTACCGGTAATCAGCCTAATAAGTTTGTTGATGTAAGTTAGCCGGTTGATTTGATTGGTTGGTTTGATTGGCTGGCTGATTTGATTGGCTGTTTGGTTGGTTGGTTGGTTGGCTGATTTTATTGGCTGATTGGTTGGCTAATTGATTGATTGGTTAGCTGATAAATTGGTTAATTTGGTTAGCTAATTGAATGGCTCCAACTGACTGCAATAACTCATCTAACTGATTAATTTTTTCATATAATGACTAAATATTTAATAATAATAGCAATAAAAATAGCAGTAAAAACAACAATAATAAATAAATACATAAATAAATAATAATATAATAATAATATGTGCACACACTCACATACATGTACACAGGGTCTGCTGCACAATGCCCATGTTCAGTGTTTCACTTCGGAGCTTTTCAACGAAATGACCAACACCACAATTTGAAAATATTAAAAATAATAAAAGTTATAATAATAATCATAATTATTATTATAAATTGAATTGATAATGTAATAAACGATAAAGATGATTTTTTTTCATATTTATTTGTACCTTTTGCGCGTTTGTCTGTGTTCGTTCATTCGTTCGTTTGTTTGTTAGTTCGTTCGTTCATTTTTTTGTTTATTTGTTCGTTCGTTCGTTCGTTTGTCAGTTTCCATGTTTCAGCAAAACGTTGACATCTCGTTCCATTAATTTTTCTTAAAATTTGTAATGAAATAAATTCTCGCGAAATGCCTGTTTCTGTTTCGTTGTATTATTATTATTATATTATATATTATTATTGTTGTTATTGTTGTTGTTATTGTTATTACTTTTATTGGATTATCATTGATCAATGTAATCTACTTTTCATTGACGCCTCCTGCGGGCATATCTCTCTTTTCTTCTCTGATTTTCTGTTAGTTGCTCTATCTCTCTCTCTCACTTTCTCTCTTTCTCTCTCTCTCTCTTTCTATTTCCTTCTGTTTTTCATTTGTTTCTATAAATTGATTTCTTTTTTCTTTTGATCGCTCTCCTTTCGTTCTGTTTTTTTTCTTCTTCCTGATCACACTTCCTGATGTCTCTCTCACTCGTTTTTTGTCAAATAACAATGGTAATAATAACGTGTTACAAAGCCCCCATGAGTGATGATGTGTTTCTCTTTGGTGTTTCTCCCGACTTTTGTAAGTTTCGTAATAAGTTACGACGTGGCGTCATATCTAGCAAGGAAAATAATACATATGAGCTTATGTAAATTCTCGAGTTGACTTGATCCGGATTGAATCGGTAAAACCGTTTTATTCCGATACGTGACGAGTTTCATCAGAGAAAAAAATATTGCTTGGGTTGAATGTATTAATACCTAGACATATATATATATATATATATATATATATATATATATATATATATATATATATATATATATGGAATATAACATGTACCCAAACTAAATTCACTTCGAAAAAAATTGTATGAATAGCTACGCGTAAAAAGCATACATAAATATACAAACGTGAATATACAAAATATTGTACAATGGATACAGAGCAAAACATTTTAAACGTTCATACATCCTCTAAGCATTATTTTGTATTGCTGTATGCATCTACATACTTACGCGAACGTACATAAATTTGTGTACTAGTACCAGAGTATACAGATGAACTAAGATGCTTCCTTGCAACCTGACCACATGTTACTCTCATGTTCAATATTTTCATTGTTAGCATATGTATGTCACACATAAGAGCCCTCAACAGATGTTTCGATGTATGTATGCGTGTGTGTGTGTTTGTGTGTGCGTGTGTGTGTGTTGTGTGTTTGTGGTGTATGTGTGTGTGTGTAGGTATTAAAAAATATAATTATATAATTCTCTAATAAGATCTATCTTGTATAAACAACCAGGTCCATTTTGTATTATTTATAGCGTCGGCTTTGTATGCATGCATGCATGCATGCATGCATGCATGCATGCAAGAAAAAAACAAGGTATTTATGTATGTTTGTACGTACGTACGTACGTACGTATGTATGTATATATTTAGGTAGGTAGACATGTACGCATGCATGTATGTATGCATGTATGTTTGTATGTACGTTTGTATGTATGTATGGATGTATGTATGTATGTTTGTAGTTACGTATTTTGTATTTATAATATAATATATACATAATTTGTATTACTTAGCTCAATCAAATAGAAACGAAATATATACGTACGTAAGCACGTATTAATGTATGCCTAAATGTATGCGTATATGTATTTATATATGTCAGTATGTATTTATGTATGTTTGTATGTATTTGCGTGTGTATGTAAGTATGTATGTATGCTGTGTTTGTATATAGTTGTTGATGTTGTTGTTGAATGACTAAGCAAGCGATAAGAAACTTGTTGAGAATTGTATAAGACAACAACGGCAACATCACTGTTGTTGCTGTTGAGAATAATTTATTTTGAAATGTCAACAACAACAACGTAAACATCAACAACAACAACAATGTCAAACATTTCGTTTATATTTTGTTTAACGTGTTTTAATGTAATTTAATGTAATGTGTTTAACTTTTAGTTTGACAGGCGAACTTTCACAAATTATTATTCCGATATCACCCGTGCTGTTGTCTAAAACATCAACAACATCTACGCCAACGACGATAATGACATCAACAAAATCAAAAACAACAACAACAACAGCAATTACATCAAAAAACTACTGCAACAGCAAAATAACACAAGACTTTGAATTCAACCGTAAAGACATCAACAGTAAAGACATCATCAACATCAACAGCAGCAGCAACAACAACAAAAACATCAACTACGACATCATCATCAACATTGATGACATCAACATTGATGACATCAACAATTAACTATGAAAAAATTTTGTGATTTCTTTTCATAAATTTTTCACCACCAAGCAATTTAATCTCGATTGCTACACCAGCGAAAAAAAACACCAACGAACTTTTAATCATTAAGAAATGAAAATAATAAATAATAATAAATTTGGCGGGAAATTATAATACTAAATTTGGCGTGAAATAATTAATAAATTAATGGGAAACAACCTCTGTGCTACATGGCAAAAAAGCGGCTATGATTGGTCCCTTAAAAAAGATACCCATCTAATAAGGTTAGAAGTTTTTATTATAATTGTTATTATTATTATTTTTATATAAATAAACGATAGATAGATAATGAAAATAATGGTGTATTGATGTAATTAAACTGAAAATCTATTGTAGAATCTGGATTTTAGATATTTATTATCCATATAATTAATTATTTCATTAATTTTTAATTTTAAAATTCGAAATAATTTATCTCTATTCTTTGTCTCAAGATTTAGTAAGCTTTTTTATCCTCCGTGGCTCGCTTTATCTGGCTATACTTCTCATCATCAATCAAATTTCGAGAAGATTCATCCATTTTTATTTCATCATTATATCAAAATTTTCATTCGGTTATCTGTCATTCATTCATAATTTCGTTCATTCATTCAATCATTTATTTATTTATTCATTCATATATTTATTTAATTTTACTCATTCGTTCTTTTGTTCATTCATTTGTTCATTCATTTGGTTATTCGTTCGTTTATTTCATCATTCGTTTGCCCGTTCGTTCATTTTTTAAATTAATTTATACATTTATTCATAAATTCGTTCATTCATTCACCTTCCGATCGATCCGCCCATCCAATCATCCTTTCCTTTTTCCGTCCTTCCATCCATCCTGGTCTATAAATTATTCATGCATTCATTCAAACATCCATTTGTCTTAATATTCTTCCATCTCCTTTGAAGATCCATCCATTTTTTCGCTAATTTTTCATTCTTTTATCCTAATTTTCAGCCATTCACTCACTCTCTCTCTTTCTCTTGTTTATCTCGTTTCTCTCTCTTCTTTCTCTCTTTCTTCTTTTTTTGTCACTCTCTCTCTTTTTTTTTTCTTTCTTTCTTTTTTTCTTTCTCTTTCTCTCTCTCTCTCTCTCTCTCTCTCTCTCAGCTGTGTTTCAAGTATATTCAGTCAATTTATCCATTTGGAGACATTAATTTTAGTACTATGGTAAAATTACTTTATCATTCACACACTCACACACACACTCTAAAACACACACACACACACACACACACACACACACACACACACACACACACACACACACACACACACACACACACACACACACACACATACATACATACATACCTACACACATACCTACATACATACATACATACATACATACATACATACATACATACATACATACATACAAACGTGTATATGTAAAAGTGTATGTATAGCTATAGGTAGGCGGTAGCCTCACTGTGATGCAGTCCTATTAAGTATTGATCTGCATTTTGTTTGTTTGTTTGTATGCATGTATGCATGCATGCATGTATGTGCATGCATGCATGAATGTGCATTAAATGTATGGTTTTTCTTGTGTATGTATGTATGTGCATATTATATTTATATGTATCTATATATATACGTGTGTGTGTACGTGTCTGTGTGTGTCTCTGTGTGTGTGAACTTATTTCCATTTTCCCAATTCAGTGGTTATTTATAGCTCGCACCATTTTGAAGTCTAAATTTTCTTTTTTTTAAAGCATATATTATCAGCAGCATCATCTCTATCGTCATCATCATCCTCTTCATCACCATCTTCATCATCATCCTCTTCATCATCATCTTCATTATCAATGTTGTCACTATCATTATCATAGTTTTCATCATTATTATCTTTATTAGCATCGTCATCAACGTCATCACTACAAACATCATCATCATCATTTCCATCAAAATTATCATGATGATCATCACCATCATCACTAAGTTTGTTATGGAGAAACGTAGAAATCTGGAAGGAAGTCCAAGTCGATAACGCTATTCAATACATCTCTCTCGTTACAATCATCATCATCGTCGTCGTCGTCATCATCATCGTCATCATCATTGTCATCATCATCGTCGTCATTACGATTCTTTTTTTCAGATTATGGGCCGAAATTTTCGAGGTGCGAGAAGGTAGTGATGGGGGCGAAACATTTTGGGGGCGAGTGTCTGAAGACGTTGTACCCATTAATGTATCTTTGGTGCAGGATGGATCGGACATGACAACGTTCCAGTTGATGGCCTACAACAGACTGGTCGAGAAGATATTTGACGTCCAGCTCTGCCAACCTGGTTTGTTGGTGCTCGGTTGGCTGGTGGCCTCCTTGCAAACAAACAAACACACGTACACACACAAACAAACACAGTCACACATACAGCCTCACACACGTACGCAAACAAACAAACAGACAAAAGTATATGAATCAGTCATAAATCAATCATCCGAGCCTACGACTGTTTCATTAATATTCCACCTTCGTTGTCGTTGTTATAATCATCAAAACACACACAGACACGCACACACACACACACACTCACACACATACTAACACACACACACAAAGGCACACGGATCATCCAGGCTTCCGACTGTTTTGTCCACTGGCGAGACAGCAAGCAGGATAAAGAATGGGGACTCAATTTCACTATCGCACAGGATGCCAGGAAGTTCCGGGATTGTTGCACTGTTTGTTCTGATGATGATGCTGATGACGACGATGACGATGATGATGATGTTGCTGATGACGTTAATGATAATGATGATGAGGACTGAATTGTTGGCGTTGTCGAATTGTCAAAGTTACTGATCGATTGAGATACTTATAATGCCACTGTTACTGATGATGATTGAATGACGATGGTGATTATGATGATGATACTAGTAGCTAGTAGTGGTAGTAGTAGTAGTAACTGCAGTAGCAGTAGTACTATCAGTAGTAGTAGTAGTAGTAGTAACTTTTCAAATTTTTCCATCACATCAGAGCCGTATCTACTGCACTTTACCAAGAAAGCAAGGTGCCCAAGAAGGCAACAAAGTAAGAAATGTTTCATCATCGTCATCATCATCATTTTTATCATCATCAGTATTGGATTATCATCATCATCATCAGTATTGACTGTCATCGTCGTCGTCGTCGTCATCATCATTATCGTCAAATTTTTTATACAATACTTTTCACTGAAAATTTCATTAAATATTCATTTTTAAGCAGAAGCCTAACCAATCCAAACAACAACATCAACAATCATCACAACAACAACAACAACAATCCGGCAGCCATGTTCATTGTTTACACCACCTGACATCAAAAGAAAAACAACAGCAACATCAACAACAACAACAACATCAACAACAACAACAACATCAACAACAACAGCAGATATATAGCGACAAGCTCTATTGTACTTTGCCGGCATTTTCGTCAAAGAATACATCACAGCAACAGCAACAGGTAAATTATTATTATTATTATTATTATTATTATTGTTATTTATTATTATTATCATTATTATTATTTTAATTTTTATAATTATTATTACTCAGCAAAACAGACAGACAATGTCTGTGTACCTAGACAGCCGTTGCTTCTGTGGCGCGCCTCTGCAGTACCAGCAGCCAGAGCAGCAACTTCAACAGCAGCGTTATTCGTGCAGTGGTATTTACGGTACTATACCTGCCTCGCTATCGTCGCTACCACCACAAGCTTCAACATCGTCCTCGCTACCATTTCCTCAGACGTCGTCATCATCATTACCGCTGCAGTCATCATCATCATCATCAACCGCAGCAGCAGCAGCTGTAGTAGATGCAGCTACCACAAATGAGGTATTGACGCTGCGAAAATGTCATAGGTGTTCGAGATGCTGCTTGGAACAGCAGCAGCAAATTTATCAACAACATCAACAACAACCACAACAGTCGATCGTTAGGAGTAGTTTGGCCGATGAACGCATATATCCGACAAGTAAGATCTAATTAAATAATCATTAAATAAGCCTTACATACATGAAATTTAATTTGCAAGCAGCTAATTATAGATTAATTACAATTAACTAATTGAGTAATAATTATAATTAGTCGCAAAATTTATCACATTAATTATTTTCCATCACCATTCAGTGCTAATGCATCAGCAGCAGCAGCAACTCTGTAGCAAAAAAGCAGTCGAAGATAACCTAATTAACTACGGAATTTATTTAAGCACCCAAGAGTTCAATAAACTAAGCCAGTCGCAACAGCCGCAACCACAACAGCCACAACCACAACAGCCACAACCACAGAAGCCGTCAATTTGCTGTCATTGTAATAAGATCATTCCGCAAAATTTCAAGATCGCCAATACCTGTTGCGGTGACGTCACCAATGTTAATAACACGAACAACAACAACAACTACAACATCAACAACAACAACAACATCAACAACATCAACAACAATAACAACAATATAAACAACAACAATAACATCAACAATAGCACTCAAACTGTGTTCTCTAACTGTGGAAATTCATTGGTGACGATTTCAAACAACAACAACAACAACAACAACATAAGCAGCAACAACAACAACAGCAACAACAACACAAAAATACACCCACACATCAATTGGCCACCCCCACCTCCTCCGCCAAGAACTACAACATTGAATAACAACAAAAACAACAACAACAACAACAATATGTTGATTGAAACATCAGCTACGATTGTTAATGCGTCAGTAACAATGAGCATTAATAATAATTTTATTACTACTAATACTGCTACTACTACTCTCACTGCTGCTACTACTACTGCTGTTGCTACTGTAGTTGCTTCTACTACTTCTAATAGTAGTACTACTGCTACTGCTAGCGTGGTAAAATTAAGTCACAAGTCGCCAACAAAAATGGGTTGCTTATTGGAAAGCACTACATTGTCAACATTTCGCGACGACAGTGCGATAAAACCAACGACAACAACAACAACAACTACTACAAACATTACAACAACAACAACATCATCGATGATGTCAACAGTGACGTCATCAACGTCAGCAATCTCAACAATCATGAAATTAACATTGACAACGACAACAACAGCAACAACATCATCAACTACAACAACAACAAGAGCAGGACCGCAGATATCAGAAATGTCGCCCGTAACATCAAATGTAATAGCATCAACGATACCAACGACAGCACATAATACTTTTGTATTTCAAAGTACAACCACAACAACACCAACCACAACAACATCAACAACAACAACAACAACTTCTTCATCAACGATGTCAACACTGGAAAAACCGGTCATAAAAAACAAACCGGCATACATTAACAAAGAGTTTCTACAATCGCTATCTGCATCGTCGTCAACAACATCAACAACAACAACATTAACAACAACAATATCAACAACATTAACAACATCAACAACGACAGAAAGAGAAGGTAGGATGGTAGAAAAACGAATGAAACAATGAATGAAAGGATTGAATGAATATAGCGACTGATTTTTGTAAAAATGAATTATGAAATTATATCTTTATTGAATCCACGCATACACACACGCACACGCACACACACGCACACATACGCACACGCACACAAACACACACACACAAACACAGCTTTACAATCAACGTCATCTACATTGTCAACCACACCGCGAACCGACGATGACCAAATGACCGAACTGGAATGGACCGAAACTTCGAGAAAGTTCGTCACGTCGGATATATCCGGTTCAGAAGACGGTGGCGACGATTATAATAACAGTACCAGCGAGTTGCAACTCTACGGCGCATCACTGATTTCTGCCGGAGAGTTCCTAATCCCTAATTTTGATTCTGGGAATGATGACATTGGTGAAAATCCGGGTGATACAAATATTACTAGCGATAGTAAATACGATGATAACAATAGTGTTAACCAAAATAAGGATGGTAACAGGCGAGCAACCAACGAAACAAACCAATTCTTGAAAAATAATAACACACAGAATGTCAGCAATAACGATATCCACAATAGCATCAACAACAACAACATTAACAACAACAACGATACTCCTACTACTGCTATTGCTAGTAGTAGTCGTAATAATAATAATAATAATAATAATAATAATAATAATAATAATAATAATAATACTAATAATAATAATAATAACGGTGATGATTGTGATGTCGACGATGACAATGAGGATGAAAATCGGAGTAATAGTTCTGGCTGTAGCTTGCAGACTGTTTTGAGCCAGGACACGCTGGCTAGCAAGAGTACAGTTGTCAGGAGAGCCGGGTTCGTCGAGTGTAATGTACTAGTATGAATACTAATTTTAAATTAATTTTACAACAGTTAATTCACCACTCCTTACAACATCATAGCTTCTTGCTCGTCAAAAACTGGCTAGTACACCACAAGAAGAAACTCGAGTTAGCTCACAGAAGGTCGTGGAAGAAATACTGGGTGAGTCTACGTGGTAACGTTTTGTGGTTCAGTGACGTCAAACATGAAACTGCTACTGCTGCTGCTGCTGCTACTGCAACAGCTGATGACAATCAAGATGGAAGGTTTGATGCTCAGCCTTCCCATAAAATAGGTATGACGTAGGCTTCGTTTTGAGCTTTTTTTTCTAAATCGCCTGGTATTTGTTGAAAGAATTTGTTGAAAGATTTTTTTCAAATTTTGAAAATTTAATAAAGAATTTTTACTTTTTGTTTTATTTTCATTTATTTAATTTATTGAGTAGATAATTTTTATTAATTTTTATTTTTTTTCAAGTGATCGAGGCCTGCTTAGTGCAACCAATGCCAGAACACCCAAGAAGAAACCACGTCTTCTCATTGGCTACTGCATTTGGAGACGTGTACTTATTTCAAGTAAAACCAACCAATCACAATTCAGAATCAATAAATAATAAAAATAATAATTCATAATTACGTCATAATTACACATTTTTAAAATTATTACAAGGGAGCGAATGCCAATGATTCTGAACGCTGGCTGAACTCCATGCATTGCGCCTGTTCTGCCTCGCTAGCCAGACAACACGGACGCGAAAATACGCTGAAACTGCTCAAAAACGAAATACAAAGACTTGAAAACAACATCGAACTAGTTGGTATAATTGTCTAATGTTATTAACAAACAACTCAATCATTCAATCGATCGATTGGTTCCAATAAGAGAACTAGCCAACTCGTCGATAAATTTTGTACTTGCGTTGCGTAATTTGTAAGAATTCAATTTTGTTCTACAAAAAAAACAATCACTAAGAAGTAAAACTGAAAAGATATTTTTATTTCAATCAATTCGTTACTTCATTGAGATTAAAAAATATCTAAAAAGGATATAAAAATGAGTAAGATGGCCGACAACCACCTGGCGACAGTGGCCGACATTCGGAGTCGACAGGCGATCGAGAAGCAGATCAACACCTGGAAGGACAACATGGAGGCGTTCCACGTTGACCAGTTTCGTCTCAGGTGCTACATGACGTCGTTGCTGGGGGCTGAACTGCCTAATCCGAAAGTTAGTGCAGTGCTGTTGCTCTTTCAATAGGTGACAAAAAGTGATGGGAATTCTACAAAAATTTTCAGAGATTAATTTTCAAATGACACTTTCAACAATATTGAATGAAAATTTTTAAACAAATAATTTTTAATCTCGACAGCCACTGTTAGGCCTGATGTTGAAGCAGACGAGAAATATGCTATCCCGCCTAAATGCCGTCACAGCTACGACTTTTTACGCAGCTGTCAGATCTAGACAGCAGATTAGCGGCAAAGGAACCGGCACAGCTGCTAGTGACGTCATTTTTAGCAACGGTAGCTTGCATAAGCAGTACTGTCCTTTGTCGAGTTTCAAAATGGACGATGGTCACGTGACTAAGGATGTGTCTAAAATTACGTTGGTTTTATGGTTAACATGTTTTCATAATTTTTTAATTATAATAATTTATTTAAACACTTTAACATTTTTAAAGTTCTCAAGACCAGCAACTGGATAACCGTCATTTCGTAGCTCCTCCCATTTTTTCTACGTCATCAATCATCAAGGTCATGTTGACCAATCAGGAGCACGTTAGCGTTGAGGTCAGTCATTCATAATTTAATTAAAAAACAACATAATTTCAATCTCGCGCCAATTAATCACAATAGATCAACGATAAGACGACGGTTCGTGACGTCATCGAAGCGGTTTGCAGCCGAAGTCGTCTGAATCCATCCGACCACTTTCTGAGAATTCACGTTACCAAAGATATTTTTAAGGTTCCGGACAAAATGGTCTTCGTTCAGTCGGAAAATGTTAGTTCCGTTTTTAATATTATCAAACATTTTCATTACTAAAAACAGAAAAGAACTGATTTTTAATTAATGAATTAATTATAATAAATAATTTAATAATTAACTTTTATTAACCTCCACAACCAACCGATCAGAACTACGACTTCATAGAACTCTGCCAGAAGTTAATCTTCCAAGTAACCCTGACGCGGACTGAGACGGAGAGAGACCTAGGCCTGAAGGTCGAGGCCGAACTGGCAGACGATGTTGACCTGGAAGATGAACTGTGCTTGTTTGTCAGTGAAATCGTCAAGGGCGGCCTAGCCCATAGTGGGGGTTAGGGATTTTGATTAGGGAGATTTAATTATAATAAAAAAATTATAATATTTGATTTTAGTGGCTATAGTTTGACATCAACAACGATATATTATAAACGTCATTGGCCTATATAATAGTAATTATTATAATTCTTTAGCGTATAACTTGTTGTATTTAGTTCTAAAAATTGTTTAAAATTTGAAAAATGAAAGGCTTGTCAGTGGGTGATGAGATATTGGTGATGAACGGTGAAGTGGTGAGCAGACTGGACATGGTCTACATTGAGTCAGTCCTTCAGGATTGTCTCACATTGGCATTGACCGTTCGCTCCTGCGCTATCGAACACTGCAGTCAGTTGAAACGTCATCGTCATCATCATTTGCAATGCCAACAACAACAACAACAACAACAACATCAGTTCATACAACAACAACAACAACAACAACAGCAACAACAACAACACTTCCATCATCATCAATGCTTTTCGTCTTGTTTTGGAACCTGTAATCTTAACACAAATGATAATAATAATAATAATAATAATAATTTCAGCAATGTAGATGTCGTTATGAGAAATAATAATAATCAAAATGTAAACAACAACAACAACAGCGCTTCAGTTTTAACTGGCGCCATCAGCCCAAACAACACCTACATCAAAAATTTGTCACCTCATCATCATCACCACCAGCACCATCATCATCAACATCAACAGCAGCTATACTTGATGAGCTCTGCTGCCAGTACAAGCACCAATTACAACTGCAATACTTTTGCTAACCAATCAGCGTCGGCTTGTTTTCAAATGGACCAATCGTCTTACATCCAGCAAATGGTGTGCCCGCCTCCACCGAATTTTCAACCAATCACAGACAAGGTCATCAGTGATCTTATCGTCCCTGAACCCAATTTTGGCGGTAAAAATTATTGAACTGTTAAGTTTTTGTTTAATAATAATAATTATTATTATTTATAATAATAATAATTCATAATAATGATAATAATTTTTAATAAAAATAATAATTTTTAAAAACGTGAAACAGGAAGCATCTATCCAGAGAACATGCCAGATTTGCTGAGGACGAAAAAGAAACTCCCTTTGACGTCATCGTCGTCGTCATCATCCGTGACGTCATCATCAGTATCATCCGTGACGTCACCTTCGTCATTCGTGACGTCATCATTGTTGCTTGATCCGGTCAATTCATTGCTGAAGGTTATTTTCCATGTTTCCTTAACTATTTTACTATTCTTCTTTTTCTTCTTTTTCTTATTCTTCTTCTTCTTCTTCTTCTTATTATTATTATTATTATTATTATCATCATATTATTATTGTTATATAACACTGTCATCATCATTGTCGTCGTCATCATCTTCTTTTTCTTCTTCTTTTTCTCCTTGTTCTTCTTCTTCTTAATCTTCGTCATCATCATCGTCGTCGTCGTCATCATCTAGGGCACATCAAAGTTGAATCACATATGTCAAAGGCAGTTTAGCTTTTCAGTGCAAGCCCCATCATCCTCATCATCAGCTTCATCAGCATTATTATCATCATCACTGCCGATACAAACGTCATCGTCGTCATTGTCGCTATCGTCATCTCGAGTTGTAACCCCCTTGAAAAACGCAATGAACTCGTCCAATATTTTGACACCCCTGCCGCCTAGAACACTGTCAACCACGCAACATACATGCAAAGTCGTCATGGAGCTGATTGAAACTGAGAGGCACTACGTCAGGGTGGGTTATATTAAATTAATTAAATTATTTTTTATCTTTATTTTTCTTATTTTATTATTTTTTTTGGCGAATTTAACGTTTAAATATTTAATTTTTTTGATTTTATCTTTGCTCTTGCGATTTCATCTTTACTTTAATGATTCTGTTGTGGTATTCATCCTTTTCTTCTATGTTTTTCTCATCAGTTATCATCACCTTTATCATCTTCCTTATCGTCGTCATCATTTTCGTCATTTTCTTCTTCATCGTTTGCATCATTCATCGCTACTTCCATCGCCAGTTTCGCCATATTTTTGTTAATTTCCATAAATTTTTTATCATTTTCATTCATTTTCTATCATTTCCACTACTATTTTTCCACTCCATTTTCATGATTCATCATCTTCATCTTTGCCGCCATCTTTGTCACCATCTTCGCCATCATTTTATAACCACCATCCTCATCATCTTCATCATCACAGGACCTAATCAGCCTGATAGAACGCTACCTAGAGCCCCTTCGAGATGAAATGTTCCTATCTGGCGATGAGTTAGACCAGCTGTTTGGCAACATTAGAGGTATAGTTCAATTCCAGAAACTTTTTCTCCAAAGTCTTGAGGAAGCAATTGAAACTATCCCTGATTTCGTTTCTTATAATCAGGTAACATAAATTATGTTAATTTTTAATTAATGATTTTGACGGTTTAATGTTTAGAGGCGTCTGGTTTTGTTTCGCAGTGGTCGAGTTTAGATTTCAAATGAGATTAATTTGCATTGTTCTACCAAAAGAAGCACTATGCAACGGTTTACACATGTTAATATTTCATTGACAACTATAATTTTCATATTAATCCATGCTTATCACGGTTAATTATCAATTCAATAATTTTTTTATTTTTTGCACAAACTCAGCGTGCAAGCAATTTCAAAGACGAAGACCTAAGACGTGTTTTGTCTTTGGTGGGAGGCTCATTCATGTACTACGCACACCATTTCAAGCTGTATAGCTCCTTTTGTGCTAGTCACTCGAAAGCCCAAAAGATGATTGCATGCGGTTCGTTCGTTCGTTCGTTCATTCGTTTGTTCGTTTGTTCATTATTGCTACTGTGATTAGTGTTAATAAATCTGTTAGTATTTATTTTGTTTTTGGTTGCAAAACAGAAGAAAATGCGGCCCTGCAAGAATTTTTAAAAGCTCGCAATCCCAGGCAGCAGCATTCTTCGACTATCGAGTCTTTCCTCATTAAACCGATCCAGCGAATACTGAAATATCCGTTACTGCTGAAACAGCTGGTCGAATTAAGTGCACCGCAGTCCTACGAACACGCACACTTGAAAGGTTATTTTTTGATTTTCAGTACAAAACAACGATGACGTAGACAAAGATTACGATGACGTAGAAAAAGATGGCGATGACGTAGAAAAAAATGATGATGACGTAGACAAAGATGACGATGACGTAGACAAAGATGAAGGTGACGTAGAAGACAGACTGATAAGAATAAAAACACGTGCTACAGACGCTCTGAGAGCCATGGAAGCCGTTGCAGAACACATCAACGAGATGCAGAAGATTTACGAGGAGTACGGGGTTGTACTAGAGGAGCTTTCAAAGCAACATAAACAACAACAATTACTTTATAATGTGAGTGCTTTCTAAACTGCGTTCATACATACAACACGCGCACACACACACACACACATATGCGCACATACATACATACAACACACACGCACACACAATGCAGATGATTTCTAAGCGGCACACACGCAACACACACGCATGCAATATGCATACGCACCCTTACGTTCAAAGGTAGGCATACAAATAAACTGGCATGTGTAAATTTATTTTGCTGTACGTATCTAGCACAAAGTTTTAGTTTAAAAAAAATTTAAATTTGTACACTCGCACACACACGCATGCACACACACGCACACACGCACGCACGCACACACACACACGCACGCACACGCACGCACACAGACAGCAATAACGACCTCTTTTTCGCAACAACCACCGCAGCAGCCTCCAACATCCTCCTCAGCAGCAGCAGCGCCATCTACATCAGTGGACCTGAACGTGGGCGAATTACAAATGTACGGAACTGTTAACTGGGTCAACTGGGACGAGGAATTGACGTCGGTGAAGTTGCGCAAGGATTGTGACCTTTTGACCTTGGTCTTCATCTTCAAGACAGCAGTCGTCATACTGGCCAGGGAGAGACAGAAGAATAAGAAGAAAGGAAAAGTAAGTGTAAGTGTTTGTATGTTTGTTTGTCTGTCTGTCTGTTTGTTTGTTGCTGACGCTACTGAGAAATACAAACAAGAAAATTGTTGTAAATAGATAAATAATACTGATAATAATAACAACAACAATAATATATTTAAAAATAATTATTCATATTATAACCAGAATGTCAACTCAAAAAGTAATATAGTTGGAAGCTTCCAGATGGAAACTTGCAGATTCAAGCTGGTCATTCCAGTTGACCAGCTGCAGGTTTATTATTTTTATTATTATTAATTACTGTTATAATAATCATAATAATTATTATTATCATAATTATAATTAGGTAAGGACTCTGGTCGGAGATGCGACTGATAAGCATGGGTTGTGGGAGCTTGTATTCTGTAGATCAGAGAAGGAAGGCAGACCTAAAAAAGTTTTTCAATTCGTGAGGTAGGCTGTTTGATTTAATTGGTTGGGGTCACTCTCTGATTGGCTGGTGTTTAAATTTGGTCGGCTGGTGTTTGATTTTGATTGGCTGGTGTTTAAATGTGATTGGCTGGTGTTTGAATGTGATTGGTTAATGTTAAATTGTCTATATTATTTAGTCGGCCTATAAAATTGCTTGATGAATCGATACAACAGTTCTCACAGGGCACGAAACGACTTCATACGTACGATACATCACGCCATGCACGAGAATATTCGAAGGTCGACATTAAATTCCGACCTTGAAAGTTTAAAGTTCAGATCGTTACCGAATCAGCAGCAGCAACAGCAGCAGCAGCAACAGCTGATTATACAGCAAAGACAGCAGCAGCAACATCAGCAGATGTATGTCGTTTCTCTTGGAGCCGGACGCTTGCTAGGTAGGCAATTTCGATGTTGCTTTGATTTTGTTGTTTAATCAATCTATTTTAAAAAAATTATAATATTAATGAATCAAAAATATTTGTGAATAAACAAACTAAAAAATAAACAAACTAAATGAAAAGTGAACTTAAACTACCAGGCAACAACAATCAAGCCACTCCAGCCAAACCATCAACATCTGCCACATCCTCCTTGAGCAACCTCAACAACCAGCCAACCGCCATCATCAGGCCAATCTGTCCTCACTCCAACCACCAGAGATTTACTCAACCATTACCACAACAAAAATCGTCGTCATCATCATCATCATCACATCCGCAATCACGTGATCAATCAACTTCCGGAAGAGGTTTGTCGGTAGGAGCCGCTTCGCATTTTAACTGTCGCGACGACTCCTGCATCTACGGAACCGGAAGCAGTAACTTTACTAAAAACAACAACGCAGGTAATACCAAAAACACTAATAACATTAACCCAAACGCCAATTTTTCTAATAAAAACACCAATTTATACAGCGCTAACTTTATTAACAACAGTAGTTTAAGTAGCAGCAGTATTCATAGTGGTAGTAATTGTTTTACTCCTATCACAAGCGATTACGTTAGCAATAAACACATTTGTAGTAGTGCAAGTAGCAACGGCCATAACACTAAAAGTAGCAGTAGTAGCTATTTTAATAGTAGTCATAGTAATGTTGTTAAAAAACTGTGAAACAATCACACGTACACACCCATACAAACACGTACATACACACACACATATAAACACGCGCACGCACACACACACACACACACACACACACACACACATATATATATATATATATATATATATATATACTTATTGCGATGTTATTGATGGTTGTTTTATAGACTTAACATTATCATTGACAACGTATATATATTTTTTCATATTTTTAATATAATTATAATATAATTAAAATTATCATGACTTGATATTAATATAAGTAATTTGTTTTTATATTTTATTTATTAAATGTGCGTGTGTGTGTGAGTGTGTTTGCTTGTGTGTAAGTGTGTGTGTTTGTTTTTGTGTGTGTGTGTTATATTAAGTATTCGTAAATCAAATATATTGCATATGTTTGCGATCTTTTTGCATCATGTTATTTATTCGGAAACAGACACTTATACACATACACCACACACACACACACACACACACACACACATACACACACACAAACATGCAAACGTTTGTATATATATATATGTATATATATAACACTTGGTTAAAAAATTTCATGACATTTCAATACTTATATATATATATCACTATTGATAAATGAATGAATGAACGTTTGAATGAACGATTGAGTGAATGAATGAACGAATGAATGAGTAAATGAATGAACGAATGAATGAGTAAATGAATGAACGAATGATTGAATGTTTGATTGAATGAAGGAAAAAAAACAAATATAAATCAGATAATTATTGAGAAGCGTCTTCGCATGGTTCAATACTTTTTTATTTTAATCACAAACATTTAACAAATAAATATATGAACGAATTATGGATAAAAAAAACGAATAGCTAAATTAATAAATGATTTAATGGATAGAGATAATATTGACTGTCAATTTATATATCTGTAGTCATAATATCATTAATAATACTTTTGCATTGTTTGGGTCAAAAGGGCTCTTTAAATTATGAGAAACTATGAATATGACAAAATGAATAAATATAATATAATTATGAATAAATATAATATAATTTATAATACCTTTTCGGTGAAAAATTAATAGATATTTGTATATTTTTTTTTATTAAAATAAATTATATATGTACATATGTTGAGTCAATGATGTTCATTTTTTTTACGTTAACTTTGCAAGTAAAGATTGTAAAGTGTCAATATTTCAATATTTCAATTTCGTCATCAGCACATTCATTCATTTATTCGTTCATTAATTCATTCATCCGTTCATTCATTCATCATTCATTCATTTATTCATTTATTATGTTCAGCCATTCATAAATCTTTCCATCTGTCTATCCATTGACTCGATTTCAAAATGCGTAGACGAAAACCACTGTTAAACTGACACCAATTCATTCATCCATGCAATCATTCATTCATTCATTCATATATTCATTCATTCATACATTTACACTTTTACGCATTCACCCATCCATCCATTCATTCTTTCAGCCATCCATTCAATCATCCATCCATTCATTCTTTCATCTATTCATTCATTCATTCATTCATTCATTCATCCATCCATTCATTCATTTATTCGCTCATCTCCTCATTTATTTCTCCAAAAATATGTCCATCTATCATCCCACTGGCACAGCCATCGTGCGTCCTTGGGCAAGGCTTGAATCCGCAAAGTCGCAAGCTCACGTTGTAGAGGGCGGCGATGATGTCCGCTCCACACTTCAGCGCTATTTCCCTCTCTGTACATTCCCTGGGGTTTATAATTAATTAATTTTAACTATTTTAATAATAAATAAACATCCCTACGAGAATAACAACAATAATAAGAAGAATATAAAAAAGAATAAATATAGAAAAATAAGAACAATAAATAATAGTAACTGAAATAATTTGCCAGTCGGTCTTTTGGCGCCATTGCCACCATCAACATCAGTATCATTACCACCACTTCTGTTTCCACCCAGCCAATCATAATTCGAAGCGCAGTGGAGAGCAGTTTGCGCCCCACATCTCGGAGGTTTAACGAAGAACCAGAAAATCGGACCAATCATGATGTTCATAATTGGGTTCTTCTTGAAGGTCAGGTTATTGTAGAGGTTAGAGTTCACGACTCCGGGGTTGACCGCATTTACTGACGGGTCTGCCGTGTGTGCGTGTGTGTTAATTGGGTTGTAAGGGTTTATTTTTGTAATATTCTTCTACTTAAAATTTGTAAAGTGCGAGTTAAAAACTTAATTAATTTGTTCTTATGCAGTGTTTCAGTATTTGAACAACGAAACGGGTAACAATTCCCTACTGAGAAATACAAAAAAGACATTTTTACCATTTTGGCCAATGATTGAAGCAAGCTCTTTCGTAAAAAGTAGCATGGCCAATTTACTGACTGAATAAGCAGAGCCTCTCACTAAGTCTTTATTATTCAGTTGGTTGAAATTCCGAAACACGTGCTCGAGTACTCGCTGCCACTTGATCTCCTCGACGCAGTCCTGGCAGTAGTCATCCAATGGCATGTAAAATTCGCTCGTAGCGTCGAGTGAGGTGTCAGGCGATTGCCCATCGTTCATTTTTTTTTGGGTTAGTTCTAGGAAATGTTTGAAATTCTCGTCTGCCAGCGTGTAAGCGTGTGCGGTGTTGTTTATAATTTGACTGTTCGGTGTCTTTTTGAGAATGTCCAGCAATAATTGGGTCAATAAGAAGTGACCTGGTTTTAAAATTTAAAATTTACTGCGAGGTATTAGACATTTTAGCGCCGAACAAATGATGAACTGACTGACCGAGGTAGTTGACTTGTATTTCCCAGTTGAATCCATCTTCTGTTTGTTCATCCGCTTCTGAGTTCAACACTCCAGCGTTATTTATAAGCATGTCCAATTTGCTTTCACCTGGACCATATTTTTTAAACGTAAAATTTTTCATATTTTTTAAAATTAGCAATTATTTAATAATTATTTTGAATCGTTAAATGCAACAATAATCAGTTTACTTACTTTTTAAAAATTCGCTAGCGAAGTTTCTGATGGATTTGAATGATGATAAATTTAATTGCAAAAATTTGACGTCAGCTGTCGCAACTTCGAGCAAAATTTCAGTTTTGGCATCTTCAAATTTTTTCAACGTCCTACAACCCATGATAACTTTCGCTCCTTGAAAAAAAAATATTAAAAAATCACTTGTTAAACACATTTCAAAAGTAAAATAAATGAATTTATAGAGAATTGTCAAAAATTCCATCAAAAATTTGTAAAAAAGGAAGAGTTTGAATGTAAACAAACCCAAAGTTACCTGCCAAACACAAAAGTTTAGTTAACTCAAGACCGATGCCAGAGTTTGCTCCAGTTACTATGACGACTTTATCCTTCATACTTTTAACATCAGTGCACTGAGCGCCTTTGAAATAATGCCTACAACCCAAAATCATTTGATAGTAATATGGTACTTGCAAATTCAATTCACTTTTCAATTCACTTATTATGTAGCTTAGTTTATACGTTTTAAATTGTAAATAATATGCCAAATTATAGTTACTAAAACAAAAACGACAGGTAGTATATGTAGGTAGAAATTATTTTAAAAACCTTATCGTGAAAATTATTCCAAACGCAAGAGCAATAAGAATCGGGTAGTAAGAGTTGAAAAATTTTTCCCCAGGCATTCCCTTTCCCACCCCAGGAATTATCGGCAACATTTTTCTCCTAATTTCGAGAGAAGTACAATTTTTGCTTGAGTTAGATACTTATTTAAGTATTTGTTAAATACTTTATTGCATTTTACGAGAATTTCATTTGTTGTCAACGTGAATTATGAATTGTCTCCAAACACTTTCAACTGCACATGCTCAAGTAGAACTTATTTTCTAATTAATCTCCAATGTAAACTTTCACCTGTACAGGTAACATAACTACTGCGGCGTGTTCTTTTCAGATTAAATTTTCCATTATCAACAATCAGTTATTAACTTATTAGTTAATTCTCAATAGAATAAAAACCCTTATTTTCATTAAAATGTATTTTATTGCATAAATTAGACGATGGAATGTGATAAAGGTAGCAGGGAAAGATGAATTGATGCAATGACTCAGCCCTAGAGAATGCGCCCAGCCCTGTTAAGTTAGCAAGTGCTCGCTTCCTACGTTTGATTTTGTTTGCAATCTTATGTGCGCAGAAACTTCATTTAAAGTTGTTTTAAAAAAGAATTCCATTCTATAAAATAATTAACTATTTCTTTCTAATTTTGAGTGAAGAGTTTTTTATTCTGTCTACAATGGCTGACGATGGAAACAGACCCGTCGTTGAATTGTTTGTTAAAGTAGGCGGGTTGATATTTTATTATAAAACTATTATATAATTTTGTTATTACAATTTTATTACAATTGCAAGGTATTGCGAAATATTTACTGATTATAAAAAACTAATTTTAGGCAGCTGTCGACAAGATGAAAAATGGTGGCTGCCCCATGTGTCACAGGTACTTCATGATCTTCTACATACTCCGAGAGAGAGGACTAATTGATCTGATCGTCACAACATTTTTGCCAGAATCTCCCCCAAAAGAAGTTCTAGATTTCAGTAATGGAAAACGTTTCCCACTAGTGAAGGTGGTTAACATTTTTTAATTGGATTTATATTTTTCAAAGCGTTTCTTAATGGCTGACCTGTATGTTTTTTTTTGGCAAAATTTTACTTTCTTGATTACCATGCTATTACTAATTACTATTGAGTAAGAATATGATATTGTAGTTGTATCACCATGCCATATATCATAGATAGACATGGGTATTGGCCATTAATTATGGTAAACCAACAAATTACAGGAACAGCTTTTTGATACAGTAGCAAATTGCCTTTTTTGTCTGTTTAAGTTTTGATTTAACTTTTTCAAATAGAATTAAGAAACTTTTTAATGTCTATGAAGGTTCAAAAAGGAGTAGATGGCAAAGGTCGTGACATATCAGGGCTTGAATGCGACACTGTTGATGAGATTGAGGCCCTAATCGAGCGATTCAACTGCGATGACATGAGGTCAAGGAAGGAGTCTGCTGCTGAGGCGACTGCAGAAAAGACTTTTGAAGATCTTTACATGGTTCGTTGATTGATAAATCATTCTTCACTAACTTTCTCCTAATTATCTTACCCACATAATTTACTTCTCATCCTTCTCTTTACCAGAAATTCTGTCAATTCCTGAAAAGCCAGAACAACGACCCGACGTCCATCATAAAAGTTCTGGAGAAGATTGAGAGCCACCTCGCGAGCAACGATGGGGAGATGTACATGACAGGCAATAACATGGCAAAGGCTGACTGCTACCTTCTCCCTGTCCTGCAGCATGTTAGAGTTGCCGGAAAGGTTAGGTGGCAGGCAATTTCATCTTTGGTCCACATTTTTTAATGTTTTCTGTCCTGTTTTTCAGTCTCATTTTTGATTTTAATCTGTTTTTTGTTTCTGTTTTGTAATATTTAATTTATTTAATTAATCTTAAGATTTAATTAATCTCCCATAACAATTTATACATGTTTTTTCAAAAAAAAAATTTCAAATTAGGCCTACAAGAACTTTGAAATCCCAACTGAGATGCACCGCATCTGGAATTACCTGAAGCATGCGTACGACTCCGATGCATTCCAAGAGTCGTGCCCTGCCGATAGAGAGATCATCACACAGTATAATAATAAGGCTTCCTGTCAGCCTCAGGTTGTTCATTCATTCATTCTATTTATTCATTCGTTCTTTCATTCCATTCATTCGTTCCATTCATTCATTCATTTATTTGTTCTTAATTTATTTATTTAATTTTTTAGTTATTTATTTGTTTGTCGTTTCCATTCATTCAGCCATATTCATACATTTGTTTATATATCACTTAATTTCAATCATGTGTGAATGACGAAATGAATAAATAAATATATGTATGGATGGATGGATGGATGGATGGATGGATGGATGACTGAGTACTTTAATGAATAAAGGAATGATTGAATGAATGAACTAAAGTCAGATCATAAATTTTTAGCAATGGTGGTTATAAGAAGTTTTTATATCTCAGTTTGCACACATATGTTTTTTTTCCAATGTAGAAGTTTTGTAAAATGGATATTTTTTAATTTCAGCAAATAAATAAATTTATTAATTCCTTGTCTGTATGTATTTATGTATGTGTATATATGCATACACTAAAGATATATGTATGTTTATGTACATTGGAAATATTTTTTTCACAGGTTCCTCTTGGCAAATCTACCCTAATGGGAGAGGAGAGAACATTTAGTATTCCAGATCAGAAGATGAAGGCCTATGATCACGATGATTACTAGAGATGATGTTTTTTGATATATATATATATCTGATATGTTGGATTGGAATTATGCTTTTTGATATATATATATATATATATATATATATATATATATACATATGTATATATAATATGATAAAATACTTGAATATTCAGACACATTCACATGCATGTATCAATTCACACATACATTACATGCATTGTAATAAGGGAATGTAGTAGCCCTCACACACACACACACACATATATATATATATTCTGTACACAAATTTTCTAAATTCATCGATCTGAACACCCAAATCAGCTTTATACATTTTGTTGTTTAGATGTCGCACTCATTCGCATTTTGTTTGAAATCTAAGTTTACTTTTTGACATTAAAATTTATCTTTGTTTTATCATTATTATTGTTATTTGTTTTTTTTCTTGATTTATTATCAGCTCATCATTGCTTATCATGTCTAATCATAGTTTATATGTATGCATATATGTAAAATACTTACGTGTGTGTGTGTGTGTGTGTGTGTGTGCGTGTGTGTATTTGTTTGTTCTTATGATATATTACTCTGTTATAATGCTATATTGTTATTATTCTCATTGCTTATAATTCAATGTGTTAAAGTATATACATACATATAGTATAATTATATTTATATATATATATATATATATTATTTTTATTTATTTTATTTTTATATATTTATTCACTAGTAAGTTATGTATCTGGAGTTTATTTTTATGATTTTAAACCTTCATGTGTTAGCCAACCCTTTAAGATCTTATTTTACGTATTTGCTATATTAATCACACACTCACACATATATATATATATATATACATCCATACGAACATACATACACAAACACATACAAACATACATACACATATACATACCTACATACACCTCCATTCTAACATATATATACACGCATACATGCATACACATATTCATATATACATAGCTACACATACAAATTCATATGTGCACGTACATACAAATACATACATATCACATGCACATTATTAAACCATGACTTGTTTTAGATTCGGAATTTTAGTTTGTGTCTGTATGCTTAGCGTCTATTTTAAGTTTGCTTAGTTTAAATGAATGAATAAATAAATTAAGCAAATTAGGGAGAGAGGGAGAGAGAGAGGGATTGTGAAAATATGAGAGAAATTAGATTAAAGAGTACTTTATGAATACTCTAATTGTGTTTTTATAGAAAGAGCTTTTTATTTTTTTATGTTTTTCATCAATATTTTATGTAGTTTTGTTATTGATCGAATCGACAATGATGTATTTGTTGTTATTGTAGTTGTTGTTGTCATTATTGTCGTTGTTGCTGTTATTGTTGTCATTACGATTGAATTAATTACTGATCACATGAATTAATAATGAATTAATTAATCTGAAATATCAATCAATAATTCATCATCATCATCTTTATTAGTTGCCAGTTCCTTTGATAAATTTTTTCTAAATTTAAGTATTTTATTTCTTTTTTTTTGTTGCTAAATTTGTTTTCCTTAGAAGTGGTTTACAAGAGCCGAGCTAGTAGCAAAAGTTTGTTTTGTGTTTTTTTAAATGTTTTTTTAAATTTTTAACAAAACGATCTGTATGTGGAATATTTAATTTTTTTTTACTACTGCAACAACACGCTTCTCGTACGTGTTCTAAATCGCTGAATGAATGAAACGTATGTGTGTGTCTGCGTGTATATATCTCTCTCCTTTCTCCTCTCTCTCTCTCTCTCGCTCTCTCTCTCTTTCTCTCTCTCTCTCTCTCTCTCTCTCTCTCTGCTAATGTGGGGTCTACGCAACTTTTGCATGCGGTGAATCTTTTTCTTTCACCGTTTGATAAACAATAAATAAGCTTAGGGGTTCGTTCGTTCCATCGTTAATTCATTCTCTTCGTCAGCCCGTCCCTCGGTTCTTCCAGTTCGTTCGTTCGTTGGTTCATGTTCATCCATTTACGGGCATCTTTATGCAGGGGTTGGTTATATACGTATTTATATATATGTGTGTGTGTGTGTGTTGTGTTGTGTATGTGTGTACGTGCATGTGTACAATCTGGTCTCCTGTGCTTGAGTGTATCAGTTCTTGTTTGTACGATACTTAGTCGTACGATTGTGTACATATCAGTACAGGTATTCGCATACACGCAAACGAATGATGAATGATGCACGCATAGGTACGTGCATCTTGAATGTTGAGTCTTCTTGAAGGTACGCTTACGTATTTGCGTGTAGGTGTCTGCTCTGGTATTTCTCAGTACAACTGTGTATGTGTTTGTGGTCGCAGGTATGCGTACGTGTATACGTATTAATGTATTTATAGGTATCTTGTTGTGTTGATCGCAGGCATCCATTTGAGACAAACATTCACACATTATGCCTTTCCTTTCAACTGCCTAGCCACACGTCACTGAGATGACTTTAAACTAGTGATGAGACCGACATGGCAGAGTAGGAAGACACTGTTGCGTGTGTGTGCGTGTGTGTGTGTGAGAGAGAGATAAATATAGAAAGATAAAGAGATAAGGTTAAAAATAGAGAGATAGGATTGAAATAAAATTTTGACACAAGTAGGAAGAAGGTGTGTTAAGAATGAGAAAGATGGATAAGTAAAAAAAATTGTTTTGGGATTGGTAACATAACTTTGCATTAAAGAAAGAGAGGGAGAAAGAAAGAGAGAAAGAGAGAAAGAGATGTACAAACACACGGACAAAAGAAATTGAAGCCAGGATTCGTTGAAAGAAATAAAATGAAAAAAAAATTGTTTGTTCACTCACTCTGGTTTACGTGAGTGTAATACCATGTCCCTATGTTTGTATGTTCGTTTGTTTGTTTGTTTGTACGCATGTATGTTTGTTTGCGTGTATGCATTTATGTACGTTTGACAACCGAGCAGGAACGTGAGCAGCGATTGATTTATGTACGTGTGTATGTATGTTTGTTTGTATGTTTGTATATATGTTTTCATGTATGTATGTTATATATGTATGTTATGTTTGTTTTGTATGTATGCATGTATGTATGTTTGTTTGTTTGTATGTTTGTATGTATGTTTGTATGTATGTTTTTGTTTTATATGTATGTATGTTTGTTTGTTTGTATGTTTGTATGTATGTTTGTATGTTTGTATGCATGTATGCTTAGACTGGCACCGACTAATGTTTTAGATGATGGGTTTTAGGTTTAGGTTTCTGTCTTAGAGATAATCTGACTGTACCGTGATGATGATGACGACGACGATCATGATGATGACGACGAAGATGATGATGATGACGATGGGGAGGACGATGTTGATGGTGACATTATGACGTGAGTTCATGGTGTTATAATGAGGGTAAAAGTTAAAAAATAGATATGATAGATAGAAAGATATAGAGACAATGTAAAAAGTATAAACAATTAGAGAGAGGGAGAATGAAAGAAAGAGAGAGAGAGAGAGAGAGAGAGAAAATTAAAATAAATGAACAATGATAACGATGATAGCAAACATATTTTCAATGCTTTATTAGACAGATTGTCAAAACTAAATGATGATAATTTCAAAGATGTTAAAATGATGAAGTTTTTTAGTCGTTTCGTTTGAAAAAATTTTCATTTAAATGAAATTTAATTAAATGAGTGCATGTCTATATGACAGAAATATATGAACCATCCTATCAAGGTTCTTACTATAATTGATTTCATGTTTTTATTGGTTATTCATTCGTTCGTTCGTTCATTTGTTGCTTAGTCGTTAATTTAATCACTCGTTTTCTCACTCACTCATTCACTCACTCACTCACTCACACACTCACTCACACACTCACTCTTTCATTCCTTGTTTGTTGGTTTGTCTTGCTTGAAAGTGGTCTACATTCGTTCATTCATTCGTTCAATTCATTGTCTTAATCTTTCATTCATTCGTTCATTTGTTTGTTTGTTCATTCATTCATTCATCCATTTATCCAGACGTAATGACCAATATGAATATTCACATTTATAATACACTCATTCACATATATAATTCTATCAGGAACATACGTACTGATATTACATTACGATACGTACCACCGGACGATGTTGATTGAATTAGATGGGCTAAAATATTTATAGAAATGATCTCACACTCGACTTGAATGGTCATGCAAATATGCAGGCAGACATACTCAGACAGACATGCACGCATAGACAGACAGACAAACATGCAAGCAGTCAGACAGACATGCAAATATGCAGGCAGACATACTCAGACAGACATGCACGCATAGACAGACAGACAAACATGCAAGCAGTCAGACAGACATACATACACCCACACAGAACGTGCAGTTAAAACGTAAGATTATGTTTCTGCGCGTATTTAATTCAATCATTTTGAACAATATCAGAAGCTTTCAATATGGAAATGTCGTGAAAAATGGCATTACAAAAATCTGCAAATTTCTTTTTCAAAGTTTCAAGTTTTTCCTTTGTTATTTTTGTTGCTTATGGATTTTTGTTGTGGTTATTGCTTTTGTTAGTGTTATGGTTTTACTTTTGTTATTTTTGTTTCTATGGTTTTTGCTTTGTTTATTTTGCTTATATTATCGCCACAGTTTGGCAATAATATTGTGTTGAGAGGAAATGACAGGATGTTTTATTGGTTTGTAGATAATTAATTTTCTTTGTTTATTTATTTCAATTTCTTTGTTTATGTCAGAAACAGCTCTGATGTATACTGACAGGGTCAGTCACAGTCATTTTTACGTCTATGTTTCATGTATCTATGTTATGATGCTATAGGTTTTTTTTTTCTTTTATCGTCTTTGTTGCTTTAGAGGTTGCACTGTTCTTTGGAAGGTTCAAGCTTTTTCGATATCTTTGTTTATGGATAGATAATTTTTAAAATTATTTTTGATATGTATTCCTTGGTGAGCCGGGCGATAACACGTTTTAACCTTTATATTTTTCTATTTTTGTGTGTTTATGATGCTTTATCAGTTGTTGTTAGTTTCGGTTTTGTGGTTGTTTATTAAATAATAATAATAATAATAATAATAATAATGATAAAAAGAAGAAGAAGAAAAAAAAATAATGTTATGGTTTATTAGAAGTTTTTTTTATGATTCTGGCTAGTCAATAGTTCATTATCGCAATTACAGCTATGTTTATTATTTATGATCCTTTTCTGGTGGCGGAAATAATTGTCTATGTTATTTTGTTTATGCCTTCCATTCAACTGGCGTTAATATCGCTCGTAATTTTGAAAATTTTCCATCTCTTCCTCTTTTTTCGCCCATTAATGCAGTGTTATTGTTCTTGGGTTTTTTTGCTTTGTTTTTTGGCCGGGAGGAACCATGGTACCTAGTGTGATGAATTTTGTCGTTGCTGTTATTATTGCTATTACTGCTATTATTTTTATTATTGTTATTATTATTCTTCTTGTTGTTATAATTATTGACGCTTTTGTCTTCATTTGGTTGCGTTTTCTTCTTATTTTCCATTTTCTTCTTTTTATTATTAGGTTATTATTACAACTATTATTTTTATTGTTATTGGACAACTACTACTACTACTTCTGTTACAACTACTACTACTACTACTACTGCTTCTGCTACTGCTACTACTACTGCTGCTACTTCTGTTACTACTACTACTTCTGCTACTGCTACTACTACTACTACTACTACTGCTGCTGCTGCTGCTGCTGCTGCTACTACTGCAACTATTAAGATATTTTATTCCATTATTTTTACTGATGGCGATTAATTTGAACATGAAGGAGGATTTAATTGAAGTAAAAGCACTGCACTGTTATTACCATCTAATCGTCTGGACCCCAAGTCAAGAAAAACTGCCTATGAATTCTTTAGATACCGATATCATAAATTTTCTCTTTCTCTTACTCTTTCTCTCTTTTCTCTCTTTCTTTCTCACTCTTTTTCTCCTTCTCTTTCTCTTTGTCTTTCTTTTCTCTCTCTCTCTCTCTCTTTCTTTCTTTTTTTTTCTAGGTTTCTTTAGTACCTTTTCCTCTATGGGTTTTCTTTGATAAATGTGTTTCGGTATTTTTTATAATTAGTTGCCTAAATCACTCAATTTTTAAGAGTGTGCATGGTTTTTGTGATAATTTTTGTTCTTACACCCTCTCTTGTTCTCTCTTCTCTTTCTCTTTCTCTCTCTCTCTCTCTCTCTCTCTCTCAGCGTTTTTTTATCTTACTATCTTTATATATAATAAATTTTCCTCTTCTCTCTTTCTTTTTTTTTCAATCTCTCTCCATTTTTTCATTCTCAGTAGCTCTCCTCCTCTCCTTCCCTCTTCTTTATTCATTTCAATTTATGTCTTGTTCGAATTAAAGCCGCCCATTTTATACTTTATGTCTTTCTTATCTCTTAGAATGTGCATGTGTATCTATGTGTGCGCGTGTGCGTATGTATGTGTGTGTGCGTGTGTATGTGTGCGTGTGCGTATGTGTGTGTGTGCGTATGTATGTGTGTGTATGTGTGCATGCATTGCTAAATATTACGACAACGCCTTACCTGATATTCACATCTCACGGGGCAGCCATTTGTAAATCAGCGATACACAATGCAGAGGTTGTATTTATTTCCAGTTATTTAATATTCTTTGGTGCATCTCTCCTGTTGTTCTTCTTA